GCCGAGTGGCTCAGTTGGTTAAGAGCTCGCTCAAGAGTTTGAGCTCTGAGCAACAACGGTTCGAGTCCAGCCCGAGCTGAGCAGCCGCTGAGCTACCAACAGGTAGCAGGATGGCTGAGCTAAAAAAAAGCTGAATGTAGAGTTACCATATGACCCAGCAATTTCACTCATAGGTGAATGGAATGTGAATTACACCTCAATAAAAAGATATTTTTAGAAACCCAAATATACAAAGGATTTTAAACTTGTCCATATATTAACTTGTACTTACCCATATAATTATTTTTTTTTAAATTATACTTGCCTCTGCTTTAAAAATTTTTAAACTGTAAACAATGCTAATTTATATATGAAGGGGAAGTAGTTTCTAATCAGAATTCTCTGAGAAGACACAGTCTAGAATCGAGGTACTTGGGTTACTAGGAAGTTTGCAGAAGGAGTTAGATCATAGGGTCTCAAAGTGTGTTGAGCTGGGTGTGTCATGTGCAGTACTTGATGAAGCCTATTGACTCCCCCCACCTCACATTACATGTGCTAGTGTTGTATAACAAAGAATTTGTATGGTCTTTGTCCCAGGTTCCTAGCACAGGGCTTCTAAATACCTTTGGAAATTCCTGGGTGATAGGAGTGTCTGTTATGCTAATAGAGTGACTGGCAGTGGGCCCCTAGATAGGTTCCATGGGGGCTGGTACCCAGAAGGACCACCCATGTGATTGGAGGTAGCCTGGCCTGTAGGGAGGGGAGAAGAGGGGCTGGAGATTGAGTTCAATCACATGGCCAATGATTTAGTTAGCCATACCTGCCTAATGAAACCCATTGCTCTGGATACTGAGGCTTAGTGGAACTTCCAGGTTGGGGAACACATTGATGGGAGGGTGATGTGCCCTCATTCCAGGAGGAGAGGGTGTAGAAACTGCATTCCCTTCCTGACCCCACCGTTTGTATATCCTTGATAAGAAAATATAACCCTAAGTATAGTGCTTTCCTGAGTTCTGAGTCATTCTAGCAAGTTCCGAAACCTGAGGGGGCAGTGGGAACCTCCCAGATTGGTAGGCAGTTGGTCAGAAGTTTGGGTAGCATTGTTGGGGAGGACCAAGCCCTGAACTAGGCAAGTCTGTGCTACTGCAGGTGGTTGGTGCCAGAACTGAACTGCCAGTCACCTAGTTGAGGTTAACCCAGTGTGGCTGGATGCAGCCCATTTCTCTTTCCCCTGAATGACATAGGGGAACCGTGGCCAGACTCCTTGCTGTTTAAGAGTCCACATGAGTCAAACCTCATTTGTTAAAAACATTTTTGAGAATAAAACGCAATTGATTAGATTAAACTTTAAACCTTAGGTTTAGCCTTAAAGCCTAGTTGCAGCATCTTTCAGAAATGTTTCGAGTTCGTTGTTGGCCTTTTTTCCCCTGAAGAGTTTTGTTTTTATGTCATCAAATCTCTTGACTTTAATTTTCCTTTCTATAATGTGAATAATTAGATACTACTGTTACCGTTTTTTTTCCCCAAATGGGCGTAGGACACTTGCTCAATGGCCCATCGGGAAAGTGCTCAGGCCAGGATTTGAGC